TCTCAAAGATCGTCTTGAATTTGCTCACGCGTACAGCGTCGCCCACTTTGAATTTTGCGGGACCAGCGATCTTCATCGCGCTGTACACCGTACCCAAGAGTCTTTCGGCGATAGCGGGAGTTACGTCAGAAGGTCGCATGCCGATGGTGCGATGCTTGCGCGTGTTGTAATCCGACACGAGACGCGGCAGCATGTCGATCCATTTATAATTTCCATTGTGCGTAAATTGTTTCCACATGTCGTTTTTCAACGTGCGATTGAACCGTTCGACGACCGACGCCTTCATTACGGAATACGTTGAATAATGATTTATGTTGTGCTCCTTCAAGAGTTTTTGTACGTTTGCGTTGTAAAATTCTTTTCCCATATCGGTTTGCAAGTTTTTCGGACATCTTCCGTCGCCTCGAATTATTTTTGCGATCGCTGTAGCCATCTCATTTCCACTCTTGGTTTTGAGCGGTAAGGCCCATGCGTGCTTACTCAGCACATCGATCACGGTGAGAATATAATAATATCCTTTGTTGAATCGTGTGTAAGGGCGCATCTCGACCACATCGGCCTGCCACAGGTCATCGTATCCCCGTACTATGACACGTCTGCGTGGAAAATTTTTTCTCGCTGGAGCGTGCAAGTCTTCTACCAGTCGCCACTTTTCGGGATTTTTCTTCTCAGACATTTTTTTTCTTTTTTTTTATTTTATTCTTGGTATAATGCGTATAATGTCACAAAGATCTTACGCAAACGTTGTTGACCGATACTTCAGTGTCGACTAAAAGACGAATGCATATCCTATTTCAATTTATAATAAGCCCAGCTTCACGAAGTCCCTCGATAATGGATAAAATTTCGTTATTGTGAGCGTTGTGACCCGCTTGACGTGAAGCCTCGAGCAATCGAAGGCGATCCACGAGCTCGTTAGGATCGTCCCAATGAACATAATTTTATTGTCGTTTAGTGTCATGGCGAGTGGTATCACGCTCTTTCCTCCAATTCTTTTACCTGACCCGTCGTTTAGTGTCATGGCGAGTGGTATACCTGTTCCAACTTGTATTTTACTTGATACAATGGGTGCTATTATATTCTTATATTTGTACCCTTTGTTACCCAATATTGGATTATCCGCATTATGGCTGCGTCTATGAGCATTTGTTGCCAACAGTATACTTTTATACGCTAGTTTGTCATTCTCTGTGTAAATAGCGTCATCGGGAATTCTCTTGAAAATTAATTCGTACAATCCAGGTGTCCCTTTGTACTTTACTCCATCTATGATCACAAAGTCATTCGTGTCTACATCGAACCGTTTGTCACCGAGCATCGTGCCGTTCTCGTTGAGATATACGCCATAAACGTGATCGATCGCCTTTTCTCTGTCACCACTGAGAAGCATGTTTACGTATTTTTGTCCGAGTGGTCCCAATTGATTATTCAACTCCTCACGAAATTGTCGCGTTTGCAAAGATTGCTTAACTAATGTTTCAAGCGGTTCATTCGGCGTTTCATAAACGTCTTCGACTGCGGGTACGTGCGAACGTTCGTACGATAATTTACGCGGTTCAAGCGATGTAGAATTGAATGAATCCGACGTAACGTTCGATTCTTTCGTACGTTGCTTTGACGGTGTTAATTGAAGCCATGCATTATCCATCCAGTAATTATCATCATCGTCATCATCTTCTTCTTCAAATTTTCTTTTCTTAGTATTTTTATACTTCGTACTGTTGACTTCTTTCTTAATCGGTTGAGATTCCTCGCCAGCAGCAGTGTTTTCGACAATCTGTTTTAGAGGTTCGACGACAGGCTTAAAGTGTTTCTCCAATGCTATATCTTCGTCTATTTTGCCTGTTTTTAAAGCGCGATACTTTTTACGAATCGAATCACTCGTTTTCGCGATTTGTTTCGCTATTCTCTCGCGATCCTTGAGCTCTTTGCTGCTATCCATGTTGCACTTACGCGGGACAACGTTTCGTAGTTGACGTATCGACAACGACTAACCACGTTACGGTATCGCAAACTCGTTAAATCCTTTTCTGTATCGCCCATTCGTAAGAGCACTGTCTTTGTCTATCACTACGAATCCATACTTTTGTTGCCAACAGCATCGACACAGTTCACAGAAATCCTCGTAAGACATGTCGGTGTTTACGTGGTCATTGTATACGTGTTTAAGGTTGGTACCATCTTGTTTGAACAGGATCAATAGATTCGCATTATCGCGTATGAGATGCTTCGGTATCTTTGCATACGTCTGACAGAGATAGAAACAATCGACATCCGCGTGTCGACCCATCGCAAAGTACTCTCTAATCGCGTCTTGCTTGTCGCATGCTACGTCATCGAAGACAAAAATGGAATTTGGAAGCGCCTCGTTCGATGGAACTACATCGCTGTTATTGGAGAATGTAAAATAACCTATTTCTTCAATCGGTTCTAATAAATTCTCCAAGTATCGATATTTTGGCTGTTGCAACGATTTCGAGTACACGTACACGTTCTCGAAGCGTACGCCATGTGGACTTTCCAGCAAACTTATCAACACGTTTGTTTTACCGCAGTTCGATGGACCGCAGATGACACCGCGTATAGAAATCGGCAGCATGTTTCCATGCTTGCGCATTTCTTTTTCAGTCTGTACTTTATCATCGACATTAGTCACTTTGATCGTCTGCGATTGTCGCACGAACTTCATATCTTCTCCTTCCACGACACTGATACAAAATGAAAACAAAGCGACATCGAGAGCGGACCTATTTATAGTAGCGCGTTGAGCGAAACCGCTCAGTAATCGAAATGCTTCTTATCGTGTCGGACAACTGCGATGTACATAGTTTAACAGCCGAAGAGTTGGAATACATACCGAAAATTATTTTGCTACGAGAGTTTAAGAATTACATAGATCGACTGTGGGACAGATTGCCTGAATATATAAAGGCTGATTCAGAGGTACAGCAACATCGTCGGTGCTTGAAACATTACAATTTGCCCTGTCATCGATCGCACATCGATGGTCCAGCGCCGTTTATAAAAGATTGTAGCGAATGTCAACGACAAGAGGTTGCGGTCTTTTAAATCACGCGATAAACGCACTTCCGATCGAATTGCATATTCCCGGATATCAATTTTGCGGTCCAGGAACACGTTTAGTGAAGCGATTGGCTAGAGGCGATCGAGGCATTAATCCGCTGGACGAGGCGTGTCGCGAACACGACATAGCTTATTCGCAGTGTAAAGATCTCGCGAAACGGCACGTAGCTGACAACATACTCGCAGAGGAGGCGCGGAAACGCATTACCGCGAAAGATTCGACTCTCGGAGAGCGAGCTGCTGCTACAGCTGTCTGGGCGGCTATGAAAGCCAAGACGAAAATCGGTATGGGCTTGAAAACGAAGAAAAAGAAGTCTACGAAAAAGCGAATACTTCCGGTAGCAAAACGCGGTGGTATCTTACCTATGTTACCGCTGCTGGGAGTCGTAGGCTCGTTGGTCGGTGGCGCGGCAGGAGTCGCGAAGGCTATAAACGATAGTAAAGCCGCGCAACGTCAACTGGAAGAATTGAAACGTTATAATCGCGTCATAAAAGGTCATGGAGTTTATCTCGCCCCGTAGAAGCGGAATCTCAAGGAAAAACATTAAAAAGATTGGAAAAAAAAACGTCAAACAATTGCCAAAAATGCCAAAGGGTGTAACTACCAACGTACAACTACAACAACTAGCGAAACGTATGCGTATTCCATATTTTAGAGGTATTTTTATGCGTACTGCGTTACCAACAAAGGGAATGTATCGAAACGAGAGCGGTATCGTAAATTTGGATAAAGCCGAGGGATCAGGTACTCATTGGGTGGCGTATGCGAAGCGAGGAGATCGTGTTACTTTGACAGTTTCGGTAATCTTCGGCCACCGAAAGAATTGGTGCGATATCTGAACGTGACGCAAATCGAATATAATCGCACGCTTTATCAACGTTACGATCAAAGTAACTCTGGACAACTGTGCCTACAGTTTTTACAGATGGTTGATGATCAATTTAAGAACTGACATTGCACTGTTTCAACTCATTGTCAGTATTCGTTCAAACATGTCACTGACGTTTACGTTGACCGGTAAAAGTAACGTCCTCGCGGCCTGTTACTTTCCAACAGTAGATTTGAGCGATGGTGATTACGAGCCCGGTCTGACGGACGTTGAAACCTACCACACGATATCTAATGTAAATTCATCGAATAATAAGTTTTACTTCGACGAAGATGACAAGGAAATTGTTATTCCCGAAGGATCGTACAAAATACATGACTTAAACAAGTATCTGAGATGAGCAATTCTACAATCTCGTTCCAACGATGTAAGAGAGAGAAAGCTTCGCAAAGAGGATGAAGAGTATCCTTTGACTATTCGTGCCAATAACAACACGATGAATAGCGAGATCAAGTGCGCTTATCGAGTAAATTTTACCAAACCTCACAACATTGGATCGCTGTTTGGATTTTCGTCCAATCGCGTGCTGGAACCACAACAGTGGCATGAATCGAACACGTCGATAAATATCATCAATGTAAACATCATTCGTATTGAATGCAACGTGACCGCGGGTGCATACAGCAACGACAAGTGCGTACATACGATACACGAGTTTTCGCCGAGGGTGCCACCAGGATATAAGATATCGGAAAGACCTGCACAGATCATTTACCTTCCGATCATCGTACGGAGCATTACGGACCTGACGGTTCGCGTTGTGGATCAAGACGGACGATTGCTCAATTTTCGCGGAGAGGAGATCACCGTTAGATTACACGTGCGAAGGCAACAGCGATAAAGTGATACAACACCGATAACGTGAGATGCTTGTTTTGAACGAGCAAACGAAACAGACGAGAGACATAATTTTTAACAGAGGGACGGTGGCGATTAAAAACATTCGATCGTTCAATAGAAAGAAACTTACTGCGTCGAACGTTAAATTTTTACAATCATTGGGCTTTGTCGTACGAAATATTTGAGATGGCTGATATCTTGGATATTGGAGGCGAGCCGATCTTTGACGATCGCATCGTCAAGTACGAGTTTCACACGTACAATCCGTACGTGAACACAACGTTTGGACATAGCGATGAAATAAGGATACCCATACAACAGCAGGATTTATACACGTTACCCTGTGAAAGCTGTCTCTATGTCGAAGGAAGACTTACGTCAAAAGAAGAAAATGCGGAACGGCGGCCGAAGCTTGGAAATAATTGCGTGGCGTTCATGTTTGAGGAAATTCAATACGAACTCAATGGTTCTGAGATTGATCGTAATAGAAACGTTGGAATAACTACTCTTTTGAAGAGCTATATATCGTTTTCAGGTGATTTCACACATCAAATGGAGAATGCCGGATTTGTACATCCGGTGTTTGATTACGATGTAAGAAGATTAGTAACACAGGATGGATATTTTAGTTTTTATGTACCGCTGTCAACGTTGTTTGGCTTTTGCGAAGATTACAAACGTGTGGTAATCAACGCGCGTCACGAATTGATTTTGATACGAGCGCGCAACGACAACAATTGCATCGTGGGAGATGCAGCGACAGAGCCGAAACTTGAATTGTTCAAGATACAGTGGCGAATGCCTCACGTTACGTTGAACGAAGTCAATAAACTGTCTATGTTGCGTATCTTAGAGAACGGACGATATCTGAGTATGAGTTTCCGTTCGTGGGATCTGTACGAGTATCCTCTATTACCGAGCACGACGAAGCACTCGTGGGCTATCAAGACTGCGACTCAGCTCGAAAAACCGTGATACGTCATCTTTGCTCTGCAAACTAATTAAAAAAAACAACATAAGTCAGCACATAAAACTTTCCTCGACAGTTGTAAATTAACCAACGTGAAACTCTATCTGAATTCTGAATTTTTTTCATACGATGATCTAAATCTAGACTTTGACAAAAACAGAACCGCCATTTTGTACGATATGTTCGTACGCTTCCGTACATCTTACTATCAAATCCTCCGCGAAAGAAGTGAAACGTTATTCAAGGCAGATGCTTTTGGGAATATGTTTTCTATGGTAATCATTGACTACTCTCGACAAAACGAGTCCGTCAAAAGTGGCACCGTGGATGTGCGTTTAGAATTTGAATTCAAAGAGAATGTACCCGCGAATACTACTGCCTATTGTCTTATCATATACGATTGCGTGATCGAATACAGCCCAATGTCCAACGTAGTGCGCAAGATTACGTAAAATTACAACGTTGCAAAATAAAATATCTTCCCCCCTTTCAATATAACATATAAAAACAAAGATTTTTTGTGATCGAGCACAGTCTCGAAAAGTCCTTCGTCGTGACTATACCAACGTTTGTCGATCTGCAAGGATTTATCGTTGGAAAGAAATTTATCGCAAAGGAAGTGGCGGTGTTGAGAGAAGGGACCATTCTTTCTCATTACATTTTTACATGCCCCATACCATGGAATTACTTGACAAAATCAGAATACGTTTCTTTCGAGGAAATATAAGTACAGGAGGCAAAACAACACCAAAAGCACCAATAATGACACATGTAGTTACAGATATTCCTCTCTCTGCGCCCTTTATTTTATGAATCTGTTTTACGCCCTTTGGTGAGAGGATTTTTCTCTGGTTTTGAACAGTTGAAGTAGATGTTTCATCTAAATTGTAAATCCGAGATCCATTTCTAAATGAATTGTTCCTTAAAAGCACTTCTTCCAATTTGTCAAAGAATATTTTAGTCTTGTTGAAAGCCATTGCTCTCGCAATACTACAGGCCTCTGGCACTCTTATTGAAATAATTGGGTGACGTTTCTTAAAACCTATAATAAAGATAATAATATGTAGATCACTTTTTACGGTAATGCTAAAAGTCTATTAATAAAGCTTTTAAGAATTAGTAAAAATTTACCGTGAAACCAATCTATTTCTGCTTTACATTCTTTTCTCCAATTTTCAGTTATACATATGTTATTTTCTACAGCAACTTGCCAAGCTCTCTTACCATATTTACTGTTAGTCCATAACCCATCTGAGCTACGTGTATGCAGTACTGGGCAATATCATCTTCTATTTCTTTAGTAAAAATACATCTGGATTGGTAACTCAAATTAAAGGATTGAGTACAATCCGGATTCTTTTTTAATTTTGAGTAAACACGAAATACTGTTTGACGATTTATGCCTGTATATGAGGCAACTTTCCTTATGGTCCATCCTTTCTTTATAAGATGAATGCTAGTCTTAAGCTTTTTAGGGTTTGTTGTTTTTCTGTCGGTTTTTCGTTTGTATGTTCTCACCATATTGACACTGTAAAAAAATCATTTTAGGATTCAGTGACATATGTATAGAATAATTATTTAAATAAATATTTATTAAAGCTGGGTATTTACTAGATAAGCATTTTTAACAAATAATTTCAAACATTTACGAATGCTTGTGAATATTTTGTTTAATGTTTCCGCTGGATAAATGTTTACAAACAGCAGCTAGGTATCAATTGCGCAAAACGTTTGCAAGAATTTGCAAATTTTCGGTCGATTTAGATGTCGATTAAAAGATTTGTGAATGTTTACAAATATCTTTTAATCATATGTGCTCGACAGATTCACCGAATTTATCATGTTTGTAAACATTTGCAAACGTTCGCACCTATCTGATGGATACCCGGCATAACAGTGAATGTAAAACAAATCTAACTCTGAATGTAAAACAAATCTAAATCAAATATTCAGTAATACTTACATTTTTAGGTTATATTATCATTATCACTGTGCAATGTATGCAGTTTGTTCTGCGTTTGCGCATGCGAAATACACTATGACTGCCTTTGGGGAGCACGCTATCAGTGCCAGCAGTGTCACTTAGTGCCCCGTCAAAAACTGTCACTATCTGCCCCCGAGGTCGATAAATATAACAGGGGCTACAGAAATGATTCGAGAACTTCAAAAATTTTGCTATGCATATCAGAAGTACAAAAAATAAGTAAACATACTACCATAAACAACATTTTACTGTACATTTTTTATTAACATTGAAATTATTGCGTTCAACTGTCACACAAAACTCAATTTTATTCGATTTTGATGAACTTAAAACTTTAGAGTATAAGACACGACGTATTTTCCACTATCGGGCTATCGTATTATCGGAAAATTATTTTGTACGTCTGAAACTGTTTTCTTTCATATATGGTTGACAACGGAATCGAATAAATAGCGCTGAGCAATGTTTTGTCACTATGTGCCCCTGTCACTTAATGCCCCACACTCCCTTACTTGTTATTAGCCTTTGCGTATCTGCCGGAACATTGGCTAAGGCCACCGCGTATACCGCGCTCGATAAACATCACCATATCTATATCGGTGAGCAACTCGAATTTCACGCGTATGTGTTTCAGCATAGCGTCCCACGTGAAACCGGGCAATGTGTAGTAATGCGCGGGATCGAGACCGTAACTCGCGACGCAACTTTCGCGAAAATTTTCGAAAACGTCGACCAATAACAATACGTCGGTTTTCAAGTACAGATCGCTGTACTCACCGAGCGTTCGCACGAAGAACCGCTTCCATACGTTCGCATCGTGCGCGTAATCGCTCTCGGACACCGTATCGCCTGTCAGCGAGCTGTGAAACGATTCGCGCGGCGGTAAGCGTGTATCATTCAGTTTTTCGACGCAATCTACGTTCTCGTAAGGAAATACTCCTTTACGAGTAAACAGATTGAAATCTTCGTCCAACAGATTTGAAAATTCGGATCTCACAATTTTTAATTTATTTTTATCAAGATACGACGCTAATTTATCTAAACTCGAACTAAAAAATTTATAAGAATCGATAAATCTTAATTTAACGCAATTTCGCGAATCTTTGTCACTAGTGTCTTTAACGTGTTTAGTGAACGAAATATATTTCTCTTTAGAAGAAGTAGATCTACTTGCCCCTTGAATTTTGTAGCGATTTCTTTTATAACGAAGTGCGCGTCGTATCCCGATAGGTTGTGGAATACAACCGGTATGTAAAGAGAGTCCTTATAATTTACGTTGCATCCTTTATGTGCTGGGCCGCGATATCGCCCGGTGAGGTGGCAGTGATCGTGTGCCCGCTCGTCACCCGGCGCGAACGGCCTCTCACAGATGTGACAGTGCGTTGCACTGTTGAATTTCTGCAAGTCATCTCGCGTGAAATCCATAGGCCGGTTAGCGGATATTATAGTTTTCGCGCGGTGCGCTAAGTCCTCGAGCTGGCGCGCGAACCAGCTGACGCAGTCATTATCGCGACGAAACCGATACGCCGATAACGCGTTGTCGTAGGAGCAGTGTACGTAGTACGCTATACTGTATACCTCGTGCCGTTGATACGCGTACGACGAGGATGATGCAGCGTCTTCCGTCTTTCGCAAGACGCACTCCAGGACGGCGTATACTACAAACGGCGCCTTCATTCTGTGATTGCGGAACTCCAACCACTTTTTCTCCTCGCTAGGTAGGCGGATGGCGCACTTGTTTAATTTACCGCAGTCCTCGCTGTGGATCTCCAATTTTTGGCTGGTATTGAAGTAGTGGAAGCAACCGAAAAAAAACAAAAAAGAAATACATTAGTAAAAAATTTTTTATTTAACATTTTATTTTTTTCTTTTATACTTACCAGTCGCAGAAATATTTCTTGTGCCCATATTTGTTGATTTGCGTGCTAACGAGGCGTGACAGTTGCTTAATCGTCACGAAATGTCCTGTGTCGCCGTCTTGCATGTACAGGAGATTGACGTGCTTCTCCCTCTTGTCGTCGGTGAGCCGGAGACGTAGGATATCCCCGTCCTCGATACCATAAACGTTGACCGACACATTGTTCAAGCGTTCGAATTTCGAAATGTCTTTTAATTTCACTGGAAATTCGACACCATCGAGATTGAGCACTGTAGAGTAATGCGGATACGACGATTCACGTTCCGCGTGTCTTTCTGCAAGGTACAGAGCGGCTACTACCGACCACGCAAAACATGCATTGTCGTTCGAATCTACGTTAACCAACGCGTGCTTGTCCTTAATTTTCTTCTGCACTGTGATATGACACCCCGCGCGCATAGGATTAAGTTTGTTCACGTTCACTGTCAAGTTCAGGATTCGCGAGAGTGCCCACCCGCTGTCACGCTCCTGGTGCTCTTCGAGCGACGTCAATGTAGGTTCGATAACGCGCAACACGTACTACTCGCGCACATTCGAAGTTGGATACATTTCGCAGTTTTTACTGTTTATACCCATAACGGTGCGTTTATCGCCTGCAATGAACTCACCGTTGAACGCGGTGTTCACTTTCACGCTACCGTGTCTCTCTATAGCGCTCCGCACACACTCGAGCACTACACTACCGGCGTCTTCCAAAAACTGTCGCGGTTCTATGTGTTCAAAGTTTATCACCGCACCGGTTAGAACGCGCCTCTCGAACGCGGCGTCGATCTCGCGCCACGCTAGAGATCTATCGCGATCACCACCGCCATCACCCACGTGCACGAACCGTCGTTCCAACCGCACCCGCGAGTCGCGCGATCCTCGCCACCGCGGATTGTCTGTGCCCGACGGCAAGACGCGGACGCTTGGTGCGGCAGAGCTCCTCCAAGCTCTCGATGCACTCATCGCATCGTTGCATCCACGCGAAACACTCCGCCAGGGTAGCGACGTGGTCGCACTGCTCCAACAGTTCGCGTTCCATTCGCTCGTGGTTTTCCATTTTTTAGAAAACTTTTATTCTGCGCACTTGTGTGTGTGTGCACGTAATTTGCTCACACGTT